TACCAATGACGATGTCCACGTCTTGAATTTAATACGGCACAGGGGACATTGGGAGAATTGCGGTTAGCGAAAAGATACATTATTAAATCTATACAAGTTATWATATATTTATATTAACCTGCATTATTATATTGGATAAAATAATGTATAACATGATAAATCTCTTACGGTTAGGTTAGGTTCTCTCATTTTCGTTGGCCGGCAATTCACTCCCATTATTCTCCTTTTTGTGGAATAGGCCTACATGGGGACACCACAATAAAAAAAACGCGCCTCTTGCAATACCTCATGTTACATTAAATACGACATAGATTGTCATCGTTTAATAAGCTAAGGTGGTGTGGAAACTTGCAATGCATTAATGCAGTCTGTAATATAATGTGGTCCTATAGCAGCTAAAATATAATATATATAATATATGTCAGCATGTCGCATCCACATAGTGAAACCACTCATTTCATGAACTGGATATTCAGATGGTGAAATTTGTCCACTTGATGAATATCGACGAAAATACATTATGTGGACACCCATTTCATGAAATGGATAATACCTATATCGCRTACTTTGTGTAATTATTATTTTATTATAACTATATACCTAGGTAATTTTCTATATTGTTCTATTATATCATATTATTACATAGGTAATATTTTTATTTTATTTTTCAAAAACCATTCTTCTGTTAATTTTTTCAATAGATCAGATGGCAAATTTGATGTACTTGGTCCAATTTTTGAGTCAAATAAAGCCTTATAAGGGCTACGTTCAATTGTTCGATGAAATTAACTATTTTTTTGGAATTGAACAAAATTTAATCCAACGCTCCACTTSTTGATTAATTATCAGCAGTCCATGCTCGTAACATGTGTTCTACATCCTGATTAGACCTCTCAATACACATTCTGGCCAAAAGTCTTTAAGTTYGTTAATTACTGAATAAACAAATTCGCGACCATTGTCACTCTGTAATATTTTTGGAACTCCAAATGTCAACAATATAGATAGTAACTCATTAACAACTTCGGTTGGCTYTTCTACTTTCTAATAGTCTTAGAATTACAAATTTTGTCACATGGTCTTGGTAATTTAGTATCCATTTAAATTTTCCATCTGGTCCCGACTGAAAATCCACCAAGTCAATTTGTGCTCTTTCATTAAAATCTACAGTTTTGATAGGTTTTATTACAAGTTTCTTATTCATTGGTTTTTTTACAATATTGCACGTTTCACACACGGTTAAAAAAATTTCAAATGGTGGTCTTGGTACATAATACGTATCATGTAACGCATTCCATAATTTTACATCACCAACATGGTCTGTCTTAATATGAAATTCTTTAATTTTATCAAAAAGGTCTTCATAACACACCAAATACCTAAATTTAAAAAAAAATTAAAATTAAAAAAAAAAAACTGGTTTCAAATAATATTAACTAAAATATTATATTAATTAACCTTATTTTTTCATCAGCTACATTTTATTTRTGTATTAAAAACTTTTCTTCTGCAATATTTAATACATCATATTATGTAGATAGTAGATAGTATTGTCGTCGATCTTTTTTACCATTGTTAGAATAAATAATAATAAAAAATATTACAATTTGTATCAATTATCGAGTAGTTTTTGATTGTTGTTTAAACGTGTTAAAATATATATTTGATTTAATTAAATAAATTTTTATTTAAGTCCAAAATTACTTACGTTTTTATTTTAGTCATTTCTATTTCAGCAATCATCTATGTAATTAAGCATATTTAGTGAACGGG